AGGCAATCGGTGTGGGGGGGGGGGGTGGAGGAGGTGGGTGGGTTAACAGACAGGTCCCATCTTCCATGGGCTCCCTTGGTCCCCATTGTTACGCAGTTCTCCGTTGACATCGAAAACGAGCTGCGCCACTTTTGATAGGCTAAAACGTGTCCACATTAACTCATGGCATCCGTAAGTAGGGCTGAGTGGGTCCTTAATTACTTCCGCGTACACAAGTGGTACGCGTTAGCGTTGCTCAATGTAATGTCATCTACTGCACCTCAACCGATAACGAGTTGGTCAAACGCTTGTATAAGCAATGGAACGCGGATAAAAGAGTGCAACGATGCTGGAGAGGAATCTATCCTTGTGTCAAGTCAACACAGTCCTTACGATAAATCGAATGCGTTTGGACGTTGCACGATGCACGAACGGTTGTGGATTGAAAAATCGAAGAAGTCAAAGAATTAAACTGTCAACTGATGGACAAACTCGCTCCTCCTCAGGACTGACCGTCAGGTTTTAACGACTCCATCTTCATCTTACCTTTGCGGAGTCCTCATCTGAGTGATAGCCTAACCTCGTCGGTCAGCGATTGAAGCATGGCATATTTGTAGGTAGGAACCAATTCGCGCTCGGTATTATCGTGATAAGCTGTTCATCTAATACGCCCAGTGTTATCTCTGACTTAGTGAAAATAGTCGAATGACTTCGGGTCGCACTGAACGCTTAATTTAAGCAGCATGAGTGTCATGGAGTTTGACTGTTGGCGAGGCAAATCGGTCTAAAGGTCAGACTACCGTGGCTTCTTTTAGCATGGCGTTTACGGCTAGGAAAATAAGTACTTGAGTATGGACGCCGTTTTTGCTTCCTTGACAGCTTCTTAGTGCTCAGTTTCGCAAAAAAACACAATCTCAAAATGCAAGTATTCAGCTTTATTTTGAAGGTTTTAATGACGTAGAGATCGCAGAGCTCTTGTACATAATCATCCGTTTCCTCCTGAACGGGTGGTCATTTACGCTTTTTGTTTTCCTCTGAAAAGAATGCACGAACCTGGAGTAAATATTCCAAAACAAACCTTTTCAGGTTTGGTCCAAAAGTTAATATAAGTGGTTGAGCTGATGTCCAGCAGTTACTGTGGCGTGACCGCGTAATATTTACAAGCTGTCGATGTTTGTGCTGCTGCATGTCACAGCTGTGAGGCTCACCCATGAGCTCCCGAACGTTCCTCAAGTGCACTTCCGGAAATACTCCAGAAGTCAAGAATTTGGTCAGAGAGGCGTAATCGTGGATGTAATGGTCCGTCAAACTATATGACTTCAACTTCTTTTCTGTTATCGAGTGCCCTAGGCCTGAAACCAATAGACATAGTATGTGTTTGCGTTTATCCCTTAATGACGCTGTGACTGACCTTTACTGTGGCCGACCTCAGTTCCTGTCCGTCCCTGTGTCTTTTGCTTTCCTTAAGAGATAACATGGTGGATTGAATTTTCGTCTGGTGGCTGACTTCGCGGTCTAGTTTCCCACGTTAAGAAGTTTTTGGTTCCTTTCGCATTATGCTTCAGGTCATTGTCGACATTCACTATGGAGTCCCGTCCAGTGACTAGTTGATATTATTTTGAGAATTGTACGGGGTTTAAGATATGCCTCCTTATTTTTAAGGGTTACCAACGGTTTAAATCCTGCGATCTTTCCTCCGTAATTACCGTATTTAAGTTTTTCCTTGATTGTTAACTGACATGCCTACCTTCCGGATAGCCTTG